AAAAAAAATGTGTTAACCTTTACGTGTAAATAAAGATCCCATTTATAATCAGTCCCTCACAGACCCATTTGCACAGAGAAAGTTAAGTTATCCCCCACCCTCCCCCAATGAGTTACAATACAAGTCCATTTAGCATTTTGTCACTATGTCACCTTGTTTACTACAGTAATTCCTCTTTTTCTCCTATTTCTAATTTTATTTATTTCAAAAGTGCACCAGAGAGCGTAAAAAGGATTTTCAGTTTGGATAATGCAAATCAGGTGTGTTTAAACAAAGATTGATCTCAATGAAAATGCTGCTTATTTCAAATAAATATTTACCATTCTGTGTCATGTAAATGCACCATGCAATTAACACCACAAAAGTGTTGTATTAGGTGTATAGCACATGTCTAGGGCAATAAGCAAGAGGTAACCATGGAAATCAAGCCAAGGGCAGGGACGTCAACTCTCCCGGATTTTTTTCAGCTTTCGTTGAGCATGCGCTGTAAGAGGGACATGGCAATGGGTACGAGATTGGCAATGTCTAATCCCATTGGTTGAAACGGAATATGATGTCATTTGTGACATCATGAATGAGGTCATTCACATCATGTGACGTCATACACATAATCGTGGCAATTTCTCCAGATTTATAATATTTGGGGGTTGACATCCCTGCAAGGGCCAACCTCGGCATCCGTCACACTGCATACTAGTAAGCAGTGGAAAAATCATGGGGATGGGTGGGTGGGGCAATACCACAAAAGTTGCCGAAGCAATAGCAAGATTGAGAACAAAGACCACAGTGTATTGGTTCAGGATAGTGAATGCACACACTAACTGCTTACCGAAAAAAATATACGTGCCAAGTCAACTTGACAAAATATTAACTGCATTAAACGTAAAATATTTTGACTAATTTTAAAACAATTAGACCTCGATGTCGAGTGGACTACTAGCTAATAGCCCATGAGGCCGAGTCCGCGAGGCCGAATGGGCTATTAGCTCGTAGTCCACGAGGCCGAGAGGTCTAATTATTTTAGTATAAACATACTAATCGGTCAAATAATGAAAACAAATTTCATCCTTAAAATCATTTATTAATGAGATGCCGCCATTTTGATTTTGCCGTGAGTGGTCTATCACAAATTAGACCATTAGTAGAGTAGCCAATCACAGCACAGTATGAGTGATAGACCATTAGTATGTTTATACTAAATAATATTATATCAACATGTATAGGAAGTTTGTACTGATGCTGTCTTTTCTGTATTTCCAGCATGARAAGAGTAAAGTCATAAAGAACAAAATCAACACTAAATATGAGTGCGCCTCGGAAAGAAATGGTTTGTATTAATTAGCAGTAGCATGAACACAATATTGTTAGTTGGAACATTTGCATCCCATGTTGGTTGTAATACTCCATTTTACAGTTCCAAGCGCCATCTTGAAAGGTAACCAAGCCTTTGCATCAGAGACAGGTGGTGAGCCTGCAGTGTATAGATACCTTTTGTTCACATCTAAGGCAATCTCGTACCCAGAGCCCGCACTTTTGCCATCCAGCGGATGTCAATACGTGAGAGACTCTGGAGGAATGCGTTATTTCTCGATTCGTGATTGGCTGAAAATGACGCGAGCGTGCATTGTTTTCAAGTCGGTTTTTCAAGTCGCCAGCGCGTGCTCGCCCTATTAGTCAAGTAGTATTAGTATTTTCTCGCATAACCACACATGTTTTCACACATTTTTGTTTTTAAAAAGGTGTAAATACCTTTTCTTGACTATGTTGTGTGCTAAACCTCCTTTTTTATCATTTTGATGCTTTAAAGCGGCAAAAACAAAATTGACCTAATTTACATAATTTGCGACGGAAAAGCGTCGCAAATCCAGTCGATTCCTCCAGAGTCTTTCCGGCGTCAGCATACCGCTGACATTTGCCGAGAAGACTCTGGGCTCGAGATTGCACCTAAGGCAATTATTCACAGCTAGGTATCTATTATTACAAGCTCAACCTTGCTTTGATGCAAAGACTCAGCTACCATTCAGGACTTGGATTACGTTGCGACGTGTTGGATATTCTAACATTAGAGTTCTAAACAATGTTTT